GAGAAGGCTATGGGCGGCTGGGATGGGGCCTTGGCCCCAAAGGGTGTTTTACTGAATGTTTGCAAGGAGACCACTGCTGTATAGGGACAGGCACATGGAGGTTTGAGCTCCCTCCACCCTCCTCTCCCTTCTTCACCAGAGGATGGGAGGGTGGAACCCGGGGCGGAACCAGGGGCAGAGTGGCGGCAGTCAGCCAATGGCCTGACCACTCCCCCGCAAGCCCGCTACATTCCCTGTCCTTTCCTCCCAGTTTGTCCACTACATAGGCATTACTAAGTCCCTCTATGTTCAGCCTTCCCGGAAGATGAGAGAGAGGGGGCACAGTGGACAGTAGGTGGAGGGGGAGTGGGACGAGGGACCAGCACTGAGCCAAGGCGAGAGGCATGGCAGAGGCAGGGCGCAGTGAGGGAACCTGGGCCTGCAAGCAGCCCCACCGCAGGGCAGGTGTGAGAGCACCCGGATGGCTGACCCTTGCCGTCATTTCCTTTCCAGCCAGAGAACAATAGCTCAAAAACAAGTGCTGCCGTCCACTTTCCCGCCTCCTGGTCTACGGGCACGCTCGCTTCCCCAGCTGAGCGAATGGAAAGCCTGAGCCCAGCACGGCCCGGCACCCTTCCGCCCGCCCAGCGCGCAGGGCACCCCAGCCCCAGCCCGCGCCCGCTGAGATCCCGGCCCGACGGCCTAGCCGGCACGTTCTCCCTCGCATTCCAGGCCCTGCACTCGGCCAGCAGCCTGGAGAGTCGCCGAGGGATGAGGACGCTACAGCCCAGTGGGACGCCCTTTCTGCACTCGCGGCCCCGAGCGCGCAGCGCCCAGAAGCCAGGCCGAGCCTGACGCCCTGTCGTCTCCCCTTGCGCACAGGGATCTACGAGTGACCCGACCAGTCATCTCCCTGCTGCATGGAACGGCTGCAGAAGGTGCGCGGGGCTTTATACACCCAAGTCTGGGCAGTGAGGGCCTGGGTCTCGCGGTGGGTGGAGCCAGGCTTCCCGCCGAGGGTCAGGTCGAGGTCGATGGTGCCACCTGGTGGTTGCCCGCAGCGCCCCACCCCGGGGCCCCAGAGGCCTAGGGAGTCTTCTCTGCCCTGGTCCACCCTCCTCTGGCCAATCCTGCGCCTTTGGAGCGGCCTGCCCGCGGCCCTCGCCCGCACGCACATTCCCACGGCCGCCTTCTCACTCTCCCCAGCAACCACTTACCTCCCCCGGGAGCGTCAGCTCCTCCCGAGGCTCCAGTGTTCCCGGCTCTCCCTCCAGCATCGTGGTAAGTATTCCTCCCGCCGCTGGCACCCTCAGGCTGGGAGGAGGGAGGGGTGGGACACGCTGGCTCCTGGGCGGCTTCTCTTGCCCCCTCCCCCACCTCCGCGTGGTCCTACTACAGCTGGTGGGCGGAATGAACCCCCAAATCCAGAGGTTTCCTCACTCCCATTTTCCTGGTTTCACCTGTCTCGTTGTACCCAGAGTGCTAGGTTTTTTACGGCGACTTTCTAAACCCTTAAAATGAAATAGTGAAATTATTAACTTATAGGAGCTGCCATCTAAAAAGGCTGCCCATTTTCTTCCTAATAAATTGCAAATCTGGCTTGTAAGGCCAGGATCCCAGGTGAGCCTTTCGGCACGTCTGTTCCATTGGCACCATTTTCCTACAGGCCAAGATGGACAATCAGGTGCTGGGCTATAAGGACTTGGCCGCCATCCCCAAGGACAAGGCCATCCTGGACATCGAGCGGCCTGACCTCATGATCTACGAGCCCCACTTTACCTACTCTCTCCTGGAACACGTGGAGCTGCCCAGAAGCCGGGAGGTGAGGGGTGGGGGGTTCCTCTTGGACAAGACTTGGGGGAAGGGCTCCTCTGGCCACATGGAAGGTGCTTTCTTTTCTGGACGCCAAAACAAGAAAGGGAACCGTGTGCAGGAATCAACCAGTGAGGACCGAGTGTTCGTGGAGAGCCGGCAGATGGGCTGCAGGGGAGCTTCATGTAGTGAGCAGGGAGGCCATGTTTGAATGGCGGCAGCAGAGGGGTCACATAGAAGGAGAGTGGGAGTGGGCAGAAAGACAGCAGATTTGTGGAAAATGCCAGGAGCACTGAACTTGGAGGCCAGAAGTCCTAGCTGAGTGACCAGTGTGATGGTGTGGTCTCGGTTTCCTCGCCTGTAAAATAGAGGTGATACCTCTGCCCATCTACCTCACCAGGTAGTTAGTACACGAGATCATACACACACGCCAGGTATGTTATAAATGGTATTCAAGAAAGGAGCACTGTCATGGCTGAGCAGTAAGAGGGGGCCAGCCTGGGGGAGACTTAAATACCTGACTAGGAGCCTGGACCCCATCCCGGATGCTTGTGGGTTGGTCTCTGCCATTCATTGCTAGGCTCTGAGGACGGGGCCACGGGCATCTTCTGTTGGCCCTCAGAGCACAAGCACACTACTCCAGGATCTGTGGCTTCTTGGTACTTCCTAGGAAAGACTTCGGACTCTGCCCAGGAAAGTACTAGAAGGGAGAAGGACAGAGGGCTAGTGCTGGATAGTGGCAAGGACTGATAGAGAAGAAGTGGCCCAGACATTGGGCAGGCAAGATACAGAGTTGGGTGGGGGATGCAGTAGCCCCTCTGGGGGTCTAAGGATAAAGGTTTAATTATACCCTGTGGCTCTGACCATCTCCTCTCCTTTGCAGCGCTCACTGTCACCCAAATCCACATCCCCCCCACCATCCCCAGAGGTGAGTCTGCCCTATACCTGACACCGCCCAGCCCTGCTCTGACAGGCCCAACCCCCATCCCCCACATGCATCCAGACAGGGCTCTGCAGAGCCCAGGGGGTGATGGAATCAGTGGACCTCGACCTGTCACTGTCCAGCTCTGTCCATCTGTCTGTCTGACCCAGGACGTCATGTAATTCTTTCTCCTGGGTCAGGCTCCATCAGCAGGTCAAGTTCTTGGATGCCCTGCCTCTGCCCTGGGGTAGGGGGCTTGTGGCTGCTAGTGTGGGAGGATAGAGATGTGGAGTGAGGCGAAGCCGTGTCTCCATGGGTTGGAGGGGTCGGGTGGGGGACCTGGGAGCTGCCGTGAACCTCGCTTCTGCTCTGCAGGTGTGGGCGGACAGCCGGTCCCCTGGAACCATCTCTCAGGCGTCAGCCCCAAGAACCACTGGGACCCCCCGGACCAGCCTGCCCCATTTCCACCACCCTGGTAGGTCTTAGTGACATCCCGGCTGCATCCTTTCCCTAAGACTTTTTTTTTTCCTTCAGGAAACCAAGCCCCTTGCTCTCAGTGCCCCACTGTCTGGGGTATATACTCCCCACAGAACTAGCCAGACCTCCAGATAACATGATCCTGGGCACAGCTCCCAAAGATGGTGGATCCTGTCACGTCTTCTTTCCCACCCAACCAGAAAAGTGCAAAAAGTCCCAACCCCCTAAGGGACAGTTCTAAGAACTCTCGGTTCTGTCTTGGCTTTCGACAGGAGCCCATGAATGTCCTACCTTCTCCCGTTCCACTGGTCTCCATTCTCCTCACTGACCTGGCCCCCCCCACCATCGACACACCCTCCTTCTCACCCGCTCTTGCTCCCTCCCCACAGAGACCACCCGCCCAGATTCCAACATCTACAAGAAGCCACCCATCTACAAGCAGAGAGGTGAAGTTCCCCTAACTGACCCGAGTCCCCTTCCTGCTACGTGCTGGGAGGCCACGCCAAGGGCTGGGAGGGGACAGGAGAATAACTGTCCGTAACAGCACAGAACCGTGCCCTGTGCTCTTCCTCGTGCATTGTTTTCGCATCCACGATCTCGCAGGCGAGAAACGGGAGAAGTGAGGGAGTTGGGAGCTGGGGGCATGCGTGGGCTGACCGTGACCTCTGCCCGCAGAGTCCATGGGAGGCAGCCCTCAGAGCAAGCACCTCATCGAGGACCTCATCATCGAGTCATCCAAGTTCCCTGCGGCCCAGCCACCTGACCCCAACCAGCCAGCCAAGATCGAAACCGACTACTGGCCATGCCCGCCATCGCTGGCCGTTGTGGGTAGGCGAAACCGCGGGAGAGGGGAAAGGGAGGCCAGGACACCGCCTCATAGCCCTGGTTGATGCCCCATGAGCCCACCCTCACCCCGACCCCCACTTCCACCCTGTGGCCCAAAGGGAACACTGCAAGCTCCTTGCTCACTCCTCTCGCATTCCTATAGCTCTGGTGTCAGCAGCCCTATTTGTTAGTCATTCGTCTCTTTTCATTCATTTATTTGACCACTGGACAGACATTTGTCACACTTCCACTGTGTCCCAGGTTCTGTGATAGGTCTGGAAAAGAGAAAGAGAAACGAGACAAGGTCTTAGTCCCCAGTGAATTTAAGTTGTGTGAATGTGTGTTGCCTACCCAGCCTCACTGCAACACTAGAAAAGGTTATTTTATTTTATTTTATATTTTATTTTATTTTAGTCTAATTAAGTAAATACCATGAGTCAAATATTAGAATCCTTCTAGAGGTGATTTTAATGAGGGCAGAGACCCTGTCTGACTTTACTTCTGTGCGCCCCGCCCCTCACCCATAATCCCCCATTCCCCTTAGACCCTGGCAGTCAGCTATTACCAGTGTACACTGCTGTGTCTGGCACATAGTAAGAATGAATAAATGAGTGAATGAATAAATGAACGAACCATAGAGCCTGGGGTGTTGATGTTTGTTCATGTTCTTTTTCTCGTTTAAAGATAATCTGTAGTGTTTGCTTTAAGGCGCAGCCTAGTGCCGCACACACAGCCAGCATCTGATAAATACTTATTGAGCAAACGGTTGGTTGACACGCCTGCTTTTGCCCATGCTTCTCAGAGACAGAATGGAGGAAGCGGAAGGCATCGCGGAGAGGGGCAGAGGAGGAGGAGGAAGAGGAAGATGATGACTCTGGGGAGGAGATGAAGGCTCTCAGGGAGCGTCAAAGAGAGGAACTCAGTAAGGTAGCATCTCGCTACTCCCCAACCCGGCCTCCCCGTGTCTTCCTGGGGAAAAAGGTTCTGGTTCCATAGCTGTTCTGTTCTAAATGGGTCCATGTCTGAAGAGCATCCTGGGCAGAGCATGTAAGGAATTTCCCTTCTTTCCTAGGATTTCAGTGGCTGCTTTAGGGGGAACGCCAGTGAATATTAGGGTCAAAAGCACAGAAATGGTGGTCTCCCCAGTGCCAGGTTTCAGCAGGCTGAGCAATTCATGGGAAGAGGGGATGGGAGAGAGCAGCCTGCTGGTCTCCAGGGGAGGAGAGAGGGTGTTGGGAGTCATGCAAAGGCCACTGACGGCTACATAGGCTTGTTCTCTGGGCATCGTGACCTGGGATGAGGAGGCCACCGGAGTAGAGTTACACTGAGTGGCTCTGACTCCTTGCTCTCAAGAGTGGCCAAACCCAACGTGGCAGCACATCAGACCAGAATGACAGACTCCACAGGCTCCCGGGCACGGCCCAGCCACCCAGGAAGTCTGTCCCCATTCCTGCCTGCAGTATGCCCAGCTCCGAACATTTTGGAGATGAGAAATGAGCATCTCCATCTTGGACCCATCTCTCTTTCTCCTTTCCCAGGTTACTTCCAACTTGGGAAAGATGATCTTAAAAGAGGAGATGGAGAAGTCATTGCCTACCCGGAGGAAAGCCCGTTCCCTGCCCGACCGGACGCCCTTCCATACCTGTGAGTGCCACGCAGGGAGCTGGGGTCTGCCTGGCCAGACCCTGAGGCCGGAATCGAATAGTCAGGTGTCTGTCGTATGCCCGGCACTGTGCTACTGTGGGTATAAGAGACAGAAAATTGGGTTGCTGGCTCAAGGCGCTCATGCTGTCCTTAGGGCAAGAATACCAGTCCTGGAGCAAGACTAGATGATAGAGGACAGTGTCGGCCAAAGCAGAATTAGCTAATTTTGTTTAATTTAATAAAAATTTATTGAGTGTCTACCATGCGCTAGGCACTGGGGATTATAAAGAGTGAAAAAATATAGTCCTCTCCTTCGGTAGCTTCCAATCATTGGGAAAACTGACTCGGAAACTGGGGTTTTGGTCCTGCAGGTATTCTGGCGAGATGAGAGGTGCGTAGTGAGTGCTTTGAGAGTCTGGTGACAGGGCCTGGGGTCGGAGGGTTGGGAGGTTGCTAAACCAAGCCAGTGGAGGAGAAGACATGGCAGACACTGAGGACGGTGGAAACAAAGGCGAGGGACAGGAAACATCCTGGCCAGCGTAGACGGCCTCCAGGAGCCTGGAATCATCCCAAGTGCGCCATGTGGGGGCAGGAATGAGGGCAAAGAGGTGGGGTGGCCAGTGCTTTGGACACCATGCCTCAAACCACTGACTCGAGCCCGGATGCCCTTAGAGCATGGCGGGTGGAGAGGAGCGGGGAGATCTGAGAACCCCAAACTGGAAGCTGTGAGGCCTGTAAAAGCCCAGCCTCAGAAGCTACACAGCCCGCTTCCACTGTGTCGCACTGGTCAGAGCAGCTCCCTGACAGCACAGACGCGGGAAGGGGAGACAGTCACTTCCTGATGACAGGAACTGCAGGAAGGCACGCGGGCTGGGGGATAGTGATCGAGGCCATCTTAGGAGACAATCTGCCACACTTCCCAGTAGTCTAGGTAAAGGCTAAAATATACACAGGTCCACAGAAGAAGGAATGGGTTTGAGAAATGTATAGGAGATTGAATCGACTAGACTCAATGGCTGATTAGAGGTGGGAGGTGAAGGGGAGACCAGGCTGGGTTTTGTCTTGGGTGCCGGATGATGACAAACCTGGAACTGAGATCTTGAAAGAGGTAGGTTTGGGGCGGGGGCGGTGCAGGGAGATGAAGAGACTGGTTTGGGGATGTGTTGGATTTGAAGTGCATGTAGGTGGGAGCCGAGTCTGACCAAGTCGCAAGCTTGAGGAGTGACTCAGGCCTCAGGCAGAGTTTTCGGGTTATAGGTAGTAATAAGACCGTGAGAATAATGTGATTGTGCAGAGAGAGGAGAGAGGGGCAGGACGGGTGCCCACACTGTACCCTGGAGAGCACGCACGTTCAGATCCGGATGAAGGTTGTTAGGAGGAGGTCGGGAAGGAACCCAGCCTGAGGATGTGGGTAGCCTCAAAAGGCCTCACTCTCAGTCTGAGGGCTGGGGACTTGATCTGGGAGCAGGCCATGGTGGAAGTGGAGGATGTCTGCTGAGCCAAAGGTGGGCAAAGCTTGCCGAGATTCGGGAAGCTTTAGAACAGCGGTCCTCAATGTTTTTGGCACCAGGGACCGGTGCTCCTATGAGCATCTAATGCCTCATGATCTGAGGTGGAGCTGAGGCAGTGATGCTAGCGCTGGGGAGCGGCTGCAAATACAGATGAAGCTTCACGCGCTCACCCACCACTCACCTCCTGCTGTGCAGCCCGGTTCCTAACAGGCTGAGAACCGGTACCATTCCTGGCTTGGGGATTGGGGACCCCTGGTTTAGAATAGCTACTGCATGGAATGGGAGCTGCTACAAGGCCTTCCATCTGGATAGTCTACAGGTTTCACCTCCATAGCTTGCAGGCGAGAGGGCAGCTGTAGGCTGATCCGGGCAGAGTTTGTGAGGCAAGTGCCGTGGGATGAGGGGCCAAGTGAGCTGCTGAGTGCTGGTGAAAGCAGTTGTGTACCCAAACACAGGCTGAGGGACAAGGGGAATTTGGGATCGGGACGCTGGACGTCCCCGGGAGATTGACGAGCAGATGTACTGGGAACAAGGCTGAGGGGAAACTGCAAACAAAGAAGGGTGCTGTGGCCACAAGGTGGGACACATGGGCTTCAGATGTCAGGGTGAAGCAGTTATGGATGACAAGGCCATTGAAGGGGTTGCCTGCTGTGGAGTGGAGGTGAAGGCCCCTGGGGCGGGGGATTCAAGGAAGCAGAAGGCGTGCATGCGGCTAGGACATCCACAGAGTCACTGGGGAGGGTATTTCAGGATGAGTGGAGTTATAAGAGGCCTTTTTAGACAATGTGGAATAAATAGTTAAGGCCTAAAGAATGAGGCAGATAGAGAGATGCCCCAAAGGTTGAATTCAGTCTGTGTTCCACCGGAATTTGCTACTCAGTCAAAATGAGCTCTTTAGCTTCCATTTTGGCGCCCCAGAATGTATATGTGATTGTAGGATTGCCTGCGTTACTCTCATGGCTAATCGACCTTAACGACTTCAGAATTATGAACAGGCATGTCGTTCTAACTTAATGGTAACATGTTTATTTATGTTTCAAACATAAACATTCTACAAGTAATTTGGAATGAAAACCATTTTATGTGTCTTGTAGGTTGAAATTCTTCCAGTCGAAGTAGAAATGTATGCCTACCGCAAAAGTAAAATGCTTCGATAATGAATGACGATTGCGAAAGCAGATAATTTTCAACACAAAAATAAATATTAAGTACCTTAAAAATTAAGAAGTAGTAAGGGGGGAAGGGAAACAAGGTCTGAAAACACATTTTGTTCTCATCAAACTTCTGAATAACAAATTTTATAAGAATGTTTTAATAAGACAGTTCCTTATAGTTTTGCATCTGTCAAGGCTAAACCTTTAAATGAGAATGCTGGTCAAAATGATTGCTACAGAATGCCAACACTTTTTAGTAATTGGAGATGAAGGAGCTGAGATCTGCCCAGACTATGAAGCTAAAGTACAAAGTTTTTCTAGGCAAACCTATTGCTGAAAACCAATTTTCTTGAATTATAATGTGCGATATTATGAAATATGCAAGTTGAAAGTGACATCTGGTCATGCTGGTGCAATCTAGCAGCTGACGGTGCTGAGAAAATGATTGTTTCTGTGTTATACCGTCAAATGTTTGAAACTTGATTACTAACATTGCTAATAATAAAATTGTAGTAATTCGATTATTTTGATGAAACGATAGGTGTATTTTGTATCCCAGAGGTTCATTTTATGAGGGTGAGCTTCATCATCTATCACTGGCTGACCGTGGACATTGACACTCGGGCACTTGGCCCAAATGTAAACTTGGTGCACTTGATGTTAGAGAGAGGGCAGGCATTAGAGGTGGTTCAGAGCTGCCAGCATGATGTCACTTGCCGAAGGTGATGGGCAGGAGCCGGTAGCCAACAGAGGCCCACCGGGTTCCCCCTAGTCTACCCTTCACTGCCCTGCTCCTGGTGGCGGAATGACTGTCAGCCCAGAGGACTGAACGCGTCTCTTGCTCTCTTCCAGCCTTGCACACAGGAACATCTAAGTCATCTTCTCTCCCCGCCTACGGCAGGACCACCCTGAGCCGGGTAAGGTCTCAGACCAGAGGTTGCAGACTACACGGGAAGCGTGTGCATGTGGGGTCCTCTGAGGGACCGAGCTACTTGGCATCCTGGGGGAGCAGCGAGACCCCTAAAGTGAAGGGGACCAATGAGGAACATGCCAGCTTCCTTCTAATCCCTTTGTGTCCTTTTTAGCTACAGTCTACAGACTTCAGCCCTTCTGGGAGTGAGACCGGAAGCCCAGGTGAGAGGCAGGGCCGACCTGGTGCCAGGGGAGCCGGGAAAGGGGCTTAAGCAGGCCCCCAGGGCAGCCCCATCTGTGATGTGGGTGGAGCTGTGTGGCTGGAGGTGGGGAGGCTGAGCCCGCAGGTTTGGAGGCCTGCCTGAACGAGTCTTCTCTCCCACAGGCCTGCAGGTGAGTGCCTTCTGGAGGGGAGCATGTGGAGCACCAGCAGCCGTGGACGGGTGACTGCAGTGTTGGGGAGGGGGATGTGGGGCCACAGGGTTGCCTGGTGAGGACATGAGAAGCCCAGAGTAAGGCTGGGAGGCCTCTCTGCCCCGCTCCGGCTCACTGCAGCTTTGGTCTCCTCAGAACGGAGAGGGCCAGAGGGGGAGGATGGACCGGGGGAACTCCCTGCCCTGTGTGCTGGAGCAGAAGGTGAGGGGCAGGGGCAGAGCCGGGGGGCGGTGGGCAGGGGATAGAAGCGTCTACAGTGGGGTGGGCCAGCTCCGGGAGAAGCCAGGGAAGTGAATGCGCTAAGGGGTCTTCCTGGATTTGCTGATGGGGGTGCAGCAGGAGAGCTGGGGGAGATGAATGGCAAAGTGGCATGAACCCAGTGGTCCCTGCAGGCTGAAAAGGGGCCTGGGGAGTTGAAGGGGTTACGCTGACAGAAAAGGCTATGAGCATAAGACTGGTCCTCTCCCCTGCCCCCCAGATATATCCCTACGAAATGCTGGTGGTAACCAATAAGGGGCGAACCAAGTTGCCTCCGGGTGTGGATCGCATGCGACTAGAGGTATATGCTGGGAAAATGCGCTGGTGGGTGAAGGGGGTCCTGGTGGGCAGCACCCCCCCCCCACCGCCTGGTGGGGGAGACCCGAGGTCTTAGTGGCACTCGTCACTCTGCCCAGCCCCACCCTCCTATCCTATCCATGTGTCACCCTACAGAGGCACCTGTCTGCAGAGGACTTCTCCAGGGTATTCGCCATGTCTCCCGAAGAGTTTAGCAAGCTGGCTCTGTGGAAGCGGAACGAACTCAAGAAGAAGGCCTCTCTCTTCTGACCGTCCCCACGCTCTGTGACTGCCCCTCATCCCTGCTGCTTCAGGGCCCTGGAGCTGGGTCACTAGACCCCAAAGCATCATCTCTTGGGGAAGCAGGGAGATGGGCACAGGTGGTGTTGGCTCCATTCCTAGTCCAGGGGAGCACAGGCCTCTCAGTGCTGGGTTGTGGGACATGGACGTTTCTCCCATAATGAGCCGGGGGCCTCCCCTCATCCCTGGTCCTCACTGCACAGGGCAAATCCAGGCTGGACTCCAGCACACACAGAGTTAGTGTCTGCGCCCAATCCCTACCCCTCTCCCCCTATGAAAAGAGGTCCCCAGAAGAGTGAGAGTGAGGTGATGTGCACATGGCACTAGGAGGCCACGCCTCCGTGTCTTGACCAGTGGGTGGTGGAACCCTCGGGCCTGGCAGGAGGAGGTAAGGGCGGGAATCAGCAGGCAGGCAGGGAGAGCTCCAGGCCCCTGTGTCTGCCCAGCATTCCTCCCCTCACCAGAGCTTCCCCCACACCTGGGCCTCCTGCCTCTGACTCCAGGGGGAGGCGCCCTGCCCTCCAGCTCACCCAGTTCTCTCCTCGCAAATCCTACGCTTCGAAGCCTCATGCTCAGCCCTGTGGCTTCCCCAGAAGCCTTGGCTTAGAGTGGAGATGTTGCCTATGTAGAACCCCAGCCCCCCATCAACCTCTGGGCAAAGCCAGCTAGAATCCTACCTTCTGGCACCCAGGTCCTAGGCAGAACCAGGCCTTGGGGCTCCCTCGGATGGGATCAAGAGGCCAGGCTGAGTGTCCTGGCTACCAGGTCTCACCCACACCCATGCATCCCCCACCATGCTCTCTAAAGAATGTAATTTATTGGGGCACCCCCAGCTGCTTGCCTCACCTAATTCTCTGCCCTACCTTAATCACACACCCAGCTTTTCTTCTCTACAAATACATATGTGTATATAATTATATATATATTTTTGCCCAGGTCTGGGTTTTCTTCCTGCCCAGACCTTGGCTTCCCTTTCCACTGTGTGTGTGATGCTGGGGGAGGGGAACTCTGCTTGGAATTAAAAGGTTGCATTGGGTCCCCAAATCGATTTGTTATTTATGAGCCACCAGGTCCGGGTGAGAGGGACAGATGATGTCAGGCTGAGGGAAGTCATGGGAGTGAGGGTTCAAATGGCAGGGCACATGGGGTCGGAGGCAGAGAGACGGGTTCAAATGGGGGGGCACATGGGGTTGGAGGCAGAGAGATGGCACAAACACCACCCTTCTCTAACCTGGGCCATAAAAGCGGGGTTGGTCCAGCAGAGTCCTGTTGGCCGCCTCTCCTTCAGGGGCTGTGTGATGGTGGACAGCGGAGGGACAGAAACACGCCGTGGAGCCTGACATGTGAGCCAGTAAGGAGGGAAGGCTGCTCTGTCCTCGGTCAAGGCCCTAAACGTTCCCCTTGGCAGGCAAGCTCAACAGCTGACATGACTGCCCCCTCCAGCACCAAGATGCTCACAGTTCACTGGGGAAGCCAAACACAGAAGAGGTCAACAGGGTATGCATAGGCAGTGAGCTGACTGTCGAGGATCAGGCAGAGAAAAGTAAGGAATGGAGAAATGATGAACTCTATCTAGCAGGAGCCAGGGTCAAGTGGAGGCCGAGGGAGGAGTAATGTGGTCTTGGTTGATTTGGCAAGGACTTCCAGGGGGAAGGCACATGGACCTGGGGGTTGAAGAGGTGGAGAGGGGAAGATTTGACTGGAAGATCAGAGGGAGGACTTTGGTGTGGGTGCTCGTGGGCAGAGGGACTGGCCTCAAGGGCCTGGAACAGAGCCTAGGTGTGGAGTGCCCGAAGAGGGGTACGGTCAGGTGGCTAAGTAAGGTCAAGGACCAGTAAGTTGGAGGAGACTTAGGTCCAGTGTGAACCTAAGACTGGAGCTGGGACCGAATCCAGCCTCCCACCCCAGGACAAGTTTCTAGCCCCTTGGGCTAAAACAAAAGCAAACAGATGAGAACCACTCAAATGTGAACGATGACTCTAAATGGTCGGGGTTCTGTATATCCACAATATTGTTTACTCCCCTCACCAAACCTGTGAGGGCAACAGCACAAATCATTTTAATCCTTTCAGTGAAGGAGAAAATTGTGGAATAGAGACATTGCATCTGAAGCCTGAAGTGACATACAACTAATGAGTGGAGAATGGAGACAAACAATTGAGTTCCTTGACTGCTAACCTAGGTCTGTCTCAAAATAAAGTTGCCTCTCAAGGGGCCTCGGGGAGGGCAGACTGGGAGGCTAATGAAAGGAACGGTCTCCACACACGCGCTCAGTGTGAGGCGTCGGTGAATGTGTGCAGGGCTTACTTGTTCCGACGAGGTAAATAGTGGTGACAAAGCCGGCACCCCTGTGTACGCTGAGGCGGTATTTGATCACAGTGCACTGGGAAATGCTTATGGTGGGGCTGACTGGACACTATGTCCTAAAGAATTTTAAGTTCCTGACATTCAGAGCAACTCAAAAGTGGAGCTCTGTCCCTCAAACAAAAACTTGGGGAGAGTGTCTCAGCACCTCCTCCGCAAAATACACACACACACAAGCAGACCCCCCAGGTTCCTCCTTGACAAACAAAAGACTGGTGGTTTCTTCCCTTTGTTCATACACATTTTGGCCTAAAAGACTCCTCTCATTTCCCATAAGACTCCTCACCAGGGACCCTATCATTTTTTTTCCCTAAGCAGCCATAGAACTGAGCTCCAAATGCTAGCTCAGCCTGGCTCAGGGAACCCTAACCCTAACCCTAACCCTGACCCTGACCCTGACCCTGACCCTGACCCTGACCGCCCCCATGCCTCAATCTGGATGGCAGGCTGTACTCCACTGCACACAGCCAGCTCTGGGCAGGTCATTGTCTCGTGGGCCGCAGCCCCTCTGGGGAATGGGACCCAAAAGCAGGGTTCATGCAGTGGAGCCCCAAGACCCCACAACTCTCGGTCCTACAGTTCTGTGACAGGGGCTACCCCTGTACCTAATGGGACAGTGAATGCCTTACCCTCTCATCACAGGATGTCAGAGGTCAGCAGAAATGCATTGAACAAGCATCGGCCCCCATCTTCAGGAAGAACCTCTGTCCATTACTGAGGGGGTGGAGGTGTCAGAAGGGTAAAGTGGGCTGTTAGAAGGCAGGTCTCTAAGGTCTTTGGACAGTCCAAGAAACCCTGCTCTTGCTGTGTAATTCTTAGGTGTAATTTTCCCAGGTGTGATGTCCCCACAGGAAACCCACATTCTGTTTCTTCCCTTGGTGAGACTAGAAGAGCAAAAGAAGCCACTTACTTCCTGCAGAACCTGTGGACTAGCGCTGTACCTACTTAAAGTAGCAAGCAACAAATGAAATTAATTTTAGTAATATACTGTTTAACCCAACATACCTAATATATTACCACTTCGACATGTAATCCACATAAAACCGCATTAGCGAGCTATTTTACATTCTTTCTTGTACTAAGTGGTCAGAACCCGGGGTGTATGCACCTTACATTCACCTCACCTCGTTAGGACTCGCAGAGGTCCGTGCTCCACAGCCACACGTGGCCTGTAGCTACGGTGCGGGACAGGGGGTGGCGGCGGGGGCGTCTACAGGCTTGCAGGACCTGCAAAGCGTCTCATTCCTCACGGAAACGACCTCCCGAGCCCACTCGCCCTTCTCGAAGGGTCGTTCTCCCGCTGCCCCCTGCTCCCCGAGGCGCCTCGCGGGACCTGTCCCGCAGCCGCGGCGCCCCCAGCTCCGGCGCCCTTTCGCTCTCCCG